CCAGACAGATTCCTCCGACATGGCATATAAAATATGAAGAAAAAAAAGAGAGAGAGAGAGAGAATGAATGTTTTGGGACTACAATATCCAGCCGCAAGTGTCTTCTAGTCACTGGCTCCATTTCACGTGCAGCGGTGAATGACCATTCAGACAAAGAGGAGGCTAATCCTCATCAAATACCCGAAAACAAAAAAAAAACAAAACAAAAACGGAATGAACTTGACCGTGTTCTCGCATAAATACTAAAAATGTCGTCAAATTTGTGACCTCAACTGCAAAAAAATATGACCAATCAATGCACTTCATGTAACAAAATTCCCTCCTTCAAAGGAGTCAATCAGTCACTGACCAAACACACTTTGCCATGTGAAGAGCACCTTCAAATTTAAGTTCAACTTGAAGCATTAACGAAAAACAATTTACTCACGTTGGAGAGGTTTTTTTTTTGTTTTTTGACTCACCCTCTCACTTTCAGCTGTTCCTTTCAATCACATCTTGTCAAAAATTGGTACATCAACTGATGCCCATGTGAAAGTCAAAGTCAGCTCCATCTTGACAATGCCGACAGGATAAAGTGGATCTCCTTGAAAGCTTGAAAAAAAAAATGATTGCGATGGAAACGTGTAAAAAGGGGTAAAATGTACCTAGTTCGGGTATTTGGCGCCTCCAGAAGTGAGTTATTTACCAGCCATAGGAGGTCAATAAAACATTCATTGTCTAAGAGGTCACGCCGTAGTGGCGTCACAGTGTTTCCAACATGACCTATTAAAAATTGACTAAGAGATAACTGGCCTTGTTGGTAAGGCCTCTTTTCTCCAAAGGTCTCAAAGTTAACGCATTTTTCACGTGTTAGCACATTCCAAGCAAATTGCGCGCAGCTGTAAGGCAAGAAGACTTGGTAAAGAAGGTGAGTTTCTGATGCACGCTTCAGTCGCATTGGTTGGTTGCTTGCAAAAAATCCACCAGATAGACCTATCATCATTCTCGCCAAAGTTAAGCAGTTAGCTGCTTGCAAAGTGGTGTCCTCCGAACAACCTGACAATCCGTAAACAAGTGCTCTTGGCCCTAAAAGTGAGCTGAAAACTCGGACTACGTGATCTGACCGGCGGTGCGACAAAACTGCTGGCACTCCACGCGATGCAGATAGCCGAGATGCTTGGATCTAGAGCAGCCTCAAGTTGGGTGGTGTTCATTCAGCAGCATTTATAAAGTTGACAGCTCCCACATTTCGACCAGCTGACAGGTGTGTGTGCAGCTTCACGGCTCCGTTCAAATGACTGAATTAAAGCAGCGTATTACATGCTGAAGTGTTCCTCTAGCTTGAAACTCACTTTTGCAGGAAGCAAGCCAACAGTCTTGCTCACCATCACGGCGGGAGATGACATGATTGGACTAACTCACGCCAAATGCGCCATTAGGGAGGAACTCCACTTGTAATTGCAAAACTGAAGCAATGATTTGCCTTTATGACCAATCGTTAGCGCAACTTATGGAGATGAAAATGAAGAAGCAAGTGAACTAACCACACTCACTATAGCGGGACTAGAAATCAGAACTTCAGTTTTCTACCGGCAAATGAGATTATTCAGGCAATGATAGGTATTTTGCGGATTCAGTGCTTGAGCACCGTGAAAAACTGAAAGAAAAAATTCAATTAAAATTTGATTTGCCGTTAATACACGATAAGAGCAACTGCATTGAGTAGGCAGTAAAATTCTCGATGTTGGAGGAAAAAATTCAGTTTGTTGAAATGTAGTAGATACCCTCGTCCCTACTCAAATGCAATAAAAGTAGTATTGTCACAGTCACTAACGGACCCTTACTTAGGAAGTTTAGACACCTATTCCCGCATCATAGACTCTTGAAAAATAGTTGGTATACATTACTTCTATTCATTAAAGATAATCGACTAGAAGTTCTACTTGAACAGACGTTGAGAGACAAAAAAATCGGCTTCGCAGTAGGATCGCAATTCAAACCTAATCGTTGTTACACATGAATAACACCAAAACCACACCCTCATCTAGCTAAAAAGTCACACAATCCTGCATAACCATTTCAAAAGGATAAGCCTACATTATCATTGATGGTGATGTTCAATACCAATTAAACCCTAAATGAAGAGCACAAGTACAGGAAGAAATGAATGCCCACAGACTCAAGTTCATTTAAAGGTGACTGAAAGAACATATGAAATAATTCTTTTCTGAATTAAGTAAGACATTTTAAGCAGAAGAGAGAAGAAAGCAGTCTACATGAGGCCCACAAGACCTCAGAGGGAAGCTGACTACCAGACGGTAAGCGTGAGGTGGATTGCGGAGTATAGCGAGAGAGAGGAAAAGGGTAGGGAGAGTGGGTGAGGAGTGGGGAGAGGAATGGGGAGAAAACACAAGCACAAGTTACTTGCTATCATCTTCCACTTCTAGCCCTGTCTGACTTAAGTGAGTTGCATATACACACCAGGAAGGAAATAAGTAACAATGGACCTAATTGGTTAGAGTGAGAGTCATCTTGTGCTCGTTCTCCTCATTCGAGGTACGATTTAAGCAAAGCTGCTTATTCAGAGCATCGACCAGGTCTCGAGCAACAACAGAAGCCGAATTCGCCGAGACTGGCTGATTTTGGTGGTTGTAGTTTTGATGGGAGGGTGTAGAGGCACCGGACTCGTGGCTTTCAGTAGGACTTTCGAAGGACGGTGGAGAGGGTGTGGAGTGACCGGTGGAATCAACTGGTGCGCACTTTTCCACCTCCAGCGGTATCAATTCCTGCTGCTGCTGAATATCCGACAGGGAGGTAGATGACATTTTGCCCGATTTTAGGAGGCTTATGCTGCCAATTTGCTTGTGCTCCTGCATCCTACATAATGGAAAAAAGTCGATCCATCGTGCCCTTGCTAATAAATGCAACAAGGCTTTTATCAAAAAAGACTACATGATGGCGATAGGAGAGCGGTGCAACAGAAGAGTATTTTTTGAAAAAAATTCGCAGCACTGCATTCTTCCATGGCAGCAGCTACTTCCCTTAACTACCAGTTGATGAATGCAGCCATGAACAACGAGAATGCAATTATAAAACTAGCTAAGGCTAACCAACACAAACCTGTCATAAATAAGGCCATGAACACCGAGTTCCTTGAGGCGCTTCATGTTGCAAGAATCATTGGCAGCAGAGCCCCAGACGAGGACAATGAGACCGAGGTCCCTAGCAAACTCAGCCATACCGGGATTTCTGAGTAGCTCGTCGCTGTTGACTGCCACGCCCTAGTTAAAGGAGTAGCCAAGTCGGAAATGTCACAAAATACCCGCGTTTGAGGTGGGAGAGTATGGGAGACTAGTGTGAATACCAAGATGAGCGAGTAGGACAAATTTTCAGTGGTATGGACTAGTCTGCCCTGTGGTCTGCAGGTTTCAATAAGACAGAGCAGCAGGAAAAGTGCTACCATAAAGTCACAAAACCAACTTATCCAAATAAGAGAAGTTTTGAGCTGATTTTAATGATCCTACGAGGAATAAACGTACCAAAAGTTCATTGGCCTTGGCTGAATAACAAAGCATTTCAAAGCTCTGCTGCCTAATGTCCAAATAATCAGGCCAGAAACCGAGTTGGAAAACGGGGAAGCGGATTTGCTTTACTTGAAGCCTAAAATTGAACATCAAGTGGCCAAGTGGCTAAACAAACTACCTTCCTGCCCTTTCCCCCTTCACAGGGAGCAATGCGGCAAGAAATGCATACTTCAGTCAAATACTTGGCCTCAACACTACCAGTAACTCTGATGCAAGAAATAAGTGTGAAATTGAAGTCGGCAATGCAAATGAAGTGGCCAATGAAACAAAAGCAATGAAAGCACTCTATTATGTCCACTTGTTATGAATGTTCGAAGCAGGATAAAGAATGTCTCAAATGACTTACATAGCACAGGTATCTGGGTCGAAGCAAGAGAAGAGAATGCGCCGGTTTCCGGCGTATTTAAAAATTTCTCGAAGAATCGTATCCACGTAGAGATTACGCTCAAAAAAGTTGTCCATTTCACTTCCACCCACCTGGTAAAATGCACGCTAAGTTTGAGTGGACTGATTGAATGAAATGACAAATTAACGTCTGATAAAGCATGAAGACCAGAATGTCAAGCAATCAAAGGTATGGCGAAATCCGCGTCGACTTCTACTCAAACATTTTGACAGATTGTGGAAACTGGAATGGAGAAAACTAATGAGGAGTTTGGAAAAGGAAGGATGCACCCACCTTTAAGT